CTGAAGAGTCCGCTGGAGAGATGACGTGGCCGAAACCCAGTTTTGACGCTGAGGCTATGACGGCGGTTGCTCAAAAAAATCCTCGTTTGGTCAAAAAGAAACGGATGCATTACAACTCCTTCAGCCATGCCGGAACCAATGGTCTTACACTTGCTACGGAGGGTTCGACTGCAACGTCGGCCGTGCAACGTCTCCAGAACAGGTCAAGAGCTCCTTATAGCAAGAATAGTCGCAAGTCTCGAAACGGCTTCCGGCCAGAGGCGAAGAAGCGTAAGACGTTCTGGTTTTATTTATACGGATGCAGACTCTAGCAAGGACGTTTGGGTTCGTGTCAGTGACGAGCTCGATGAGTTGGAACTGGATCACGGCGATCCAGACTACGATTCCGATGAGGATGTAAGCATTTTTTCCGGCTTAGTTTTTTTAGATCCCTATCGAAGTCAATCAAGTCAACGCCGTTCTAAGCGACGAGGACTTAGAAGAATTCTTCTCTTCTCTTGTCCACGAGTATTACGACCACTGCAAAACAGAAGAGGTCATCGTAAGTCGCATTTTGTTTCCCCTGGGATACTAAACCCATGCCCGAATTCTAGTGTTCATGCCTGGAAATTTCCTCCGCATTTTAGGAAGCCTTGAAGGAGATTACATTGTCTCCCCTTCAACGTCGCCGTTTGCCATTTATGGCGATAAATCTCGCTCTACAACATAAGATGTCTCACTGTGAGCTGACTTCTGAACTTCTTTCCGAAATGTGTGGAAAAGTTATCAGTATGTCGGCCATGCAACAAGGCTTCCATCTGCTTTTGGACGACTTGGCCGACATTGTTCTTGACGTTCCCAAGGCCCCAGAGGTATTACTTGCTTATTTACTCATGTTTGCTTGTGTCATTCAGGAACTTTTTCGCCTTCTCATTCCTACACAATTACTAGTGTTATTGTGCCACTGACTTTTGGACTTTTGATTCTGCTTGTGTATTTGACCTCGAGCTTCAGCCCGACTTGCTTCTAGTGCTATCTAGATTTTGTGCGACGTTAAGTTTGCACTTGACTGAAAGTTCGACCCACGGCCTAACGTTTATTTACCACTACCAGAAAACCCTGTCTACTTGTTTATTTGTAACCAATGTCCTTTCTCTTTCAGTACGTTGGTCGTTTCATCGCGCGAGGTGTTGCTGATGACATACTTCCACCCAAATTTGTTCAGCAGTACAAAGAACTAAATGCCGCCCTCTTGCCGCTTTCGAGTGGCTTGGGAGAAAAATCTGTAACTACCGGTACCCCACCCTCCTCAAGTATTCCGCCGGTCTCCATCGCTTTACGTCGTGACAGCGGCGGTAGCGCTGCTCTTAGTGCAAATACACACAGCAGCAGCGGGGTAAGTTCGGCGGGTGAAAGCGTGACGATGACAACGGGCACAGCGGCTAGTGGCGATATTGGGTCAGCTCCCTCTGGCGATGCCCCTGTAAACTACGCCATGCAAGCTATATTGAAAGCAGAAACCTTGTTAACCCTCAGTCACGCGTATTCAAGACTGGATATCATTTGGGGCATCCCACCAAGTGAACGTGTTACGACTCTCCTTATGAAGCAGATAAGTTCCCTTCTTGAAGAGTACCTTTGCACCGGCAAACTCGAGGACGCGACTGCCGCACTTCAAGAGTTGGACTCACCCCATTACCACCACGAGCTTGTGTATCAGGTACGTTTTTGACTTAGATACACTCGATTCGCAACCATATTTTAGTAACCTTAGTGCTGCCGCTGTATTGCATTGCAGAGCCCGCGAGAGGACTGTCCTCATTTAGCCATAGTTTCTTTAGTCGCGGAATCGTACAGTTTTAAGTGCTGATTTTTTTGTGGATAGCGGGGATAGTGGTTTTCTGCGGCCCATATTATCCTTTTTCCAGACCATGACCCCATAGGTTGGCAGATTTACATTTAAACGTGAGCCGGCAACACCTGCCGCTTAACGGTGCGTATTGGCAAAAACGCAGAGGACGACGACTCTTAGCCGGCGAGCATTGACTGTCCATCGTTACTGATAGTTTTAATTAATAATGACCGCGTCGGTCTGGAAGTGAACTTTTCATGCTCGTACGTCAACTCAAGAAAAAAAACAGTTCATGGAAGCAAATCCATGCTGACTTCCTGGCCAATTTTTGCATGCATAGTTTTGGTGTGTTTGATGGCGCACCAGCTGGCTTTTGGTCGGCACTCGAGCTTTGTCAAACAAAGCCTGCATGCGGCATTTGGAAACTGGTTTCACCTTTCTCCTGTCCACCATTATCGCCCCTTAGAGAACTAGTCTCCTGTACTTCTTAGCTGACTGCTTTTTTCTCTCAAATACCCTACCACCAGTCAATTAGTACGAGCAACTCGTTCCCAGGCATTCGCCTCGCGTTAGCGCGGATTTAAAGCGTTCACGCCAATTTACGTGGTGTTCAGACCACTCATGTCCACAAGCCCGCAAACTGGACTGTATCAGGAGGCGCAGCCCGCAGTGGGGTTGATTTTACAAGTTGGATGCGCTAAGCGCTAGGGTGTGTTAGTAGAACGCTTAACTGTCCTGTGAGGCTCGCATCATGACTTGTACAAAGTAGCTTGGAGAGTTTGACGGGTGTTTATAGCGATCTCGTATTTTCAGTTATTCTCGTGTAGTGGCGAATAAATTCATTCCACAGTCCACTGATGAAAAATGAACTCTTGTTTTTGTGCCAAATCTAGGCAATACTTTTGGTCCTTGAACGAAGTGGCGATCAAGTGGCCGATCGCATTTTACGTCTTCTGGATCACCTCTGCCGTTCGGTTGTGATAACGCTTGACCAACTACTAACCGGCGTGAAAAGAATCTACGTCGAGCTGCCTGAAATCCAACGACAACTCCCAGTCTCATACGTCCTTCTGGAAAGATTTATTAATCGTGCAGTAGAGGTCGGATTTCTTCCGAAGAAAGTGGCTAACGAGATGCCAACAAAGTATGTCTTGTCTATGGTGCGATTTTTACCATAATTTTTTTAAAAACGTGTTCGCGTTTGCCAAGCCAGTAGAATTTATACAGATCGTTGTTACATATTCGGCCTTTTAATCGAAAAGCGGCATTCTAGGCTCAAATGTTGACGCTTTAACTCGCCATCCGCTGAAGTTGTTTCGTCCTGTCGCTTGGTCGATGGATTTATAACGCCAGTAGTCATACTGCTTATTATTTGCAGATACTATGCTTTGCAATAATTGCAAATACTCATTTTTAGGGCAAGAAAACGTTTCGTTTCCGAGGGTGACGCCATCCGGAAGGCTCCACCTGTTGGCCGCCTGTTTTGATCGTGTCAAGGACACCACGCACTGGCCACTTGCTCATTCGGATCACGAATTCCTGCTTGGAGGGTTTTTCGCGTAGCTAAGTTGGCACTGCATAACGCTACCTGGCTCCGTGGCATCAACTAATGCCCCTGCGTTTTTAAGCCTCGCTCCCTTCTGCCATGTGTTCGCACTGGGTCATTCCATCTCTGCCGGCATGCCTTCCGAGCCGCCGTCACCGACTTGCTCTCTGACTGCAGTCTGCTCGATCACCATCCTACCTACACTCATACTATCGACTCGCCTGGCTTTCAAGTTTTCCTAGTCAATTTTTCCTGTTAGCTGAGGCCGTGTACTATAAGTACCTTATCCTATGTTTAGCTTTTTTACCTGAACTGTTGTGTGCTCCTCGACCCTCCTACCATCCTTGTTTCCTGTGGAAATTAATTTCCTGCTTCAATTGTTTCCCGCACATTACTCTTTGTGTCTGTGTGCCCGCATGCTTGAATTCCGCCCAAACCGCTTCGTTGCAACACTCGACTTCCGTGGCAATCAGATTTTCGTCTGTTAAAGGGCTTTGATGGAGTTTATACATTCAATCGCTAATTTATACTCTTTTCTTATTGACAGAACTGTTGTATTCAGTTTTGCTACGTTCGTCCTGCCTGACCGCTTGAGCATTAGAGCTGCTGGTGACAAGTAGGACATGGGTACCCAACGAGGTTAACTAGCAATGCAGGGTTTTTAAGACTTACTCTGGTTGCCGGAAGACGCATTACGACAACTTAATTGTTTGAGTTCAGGCTGAACCTTCGTATACGCCCCGAGCAGTCCTTTCTTAGCGTTGGGTGTACTCCAAACCGGAAGTTATTGTCCTTATGGCTCTTCTTTCCCCCTTCATGCGCTAGTAATTATGTATTTGTTCTCAGGCTGTATTGCAACGCATATCTTCGAACAGTTGGTCTGTTGGGTTCGTCCGAGCCGAACTCCCATCACTGCAACGGACTCATGGTTCGGGCCTCCATGGCCTGCACTTAACGGACTTCAGTCCGTGTTCGCTCCAAAAACTCAACCCCCCGGGTATAGCTCGTGGCGAATTGGGCTACCGCCCCGCAATTATTCGGAGGCGTACTCCAGATTTTTTTGTTACAGAGCCCTTGCCATTTGCTTCTGTGGGGAATGACATAGGCTACGCCGATCGAAGTGTTCTGCGTACATGGCCACTTGCGCCTGTCAGACTCGAGCTCAGAACGGGCAAGCCTCGCTGTTTGGGTAGTCGACAGATCCTATCAGTTGGTTAAAGTGGTTCGGGCCTACGCCTCTTCAACCGAGGTCTTGGGAATTGCGACCTAGGGTGGCCCCTTCTCGCAGTGTCCAGGTCGGTGATCACCAAGCGTGCCTTCTTTGAGTCAGCCAGGAGCCTGACAGTCAAAGTGGTTTCCGTTGCAGTTCCCTTGGTCTCTGGACTTTAACGAGCGTCGAAGCTTTTCTGGCACGCGACTCGCTGGTTGTGACAAATTTCTTTTCGCGAGCCAGTTGTCACCTCGAGGGAGTGGTCATCTGGAGCGGTCTCCGGCCACATACTGTCCAGCTACTGGCGGACCCGCGCACGAGTCCAGTGGTTAACACGGTTGTATTCACCATTCAGACTCGTTAGGTCGAGTCGCCTAGCACCGTTCTCGACTAGCCACAAGCGTCCCTTGTTCTGTGGGAAAAGAAAACCAGGAGTGCCAGAAGGTTGCCCAAGAAAGCCGCTACTCAGGATTAGTTTTCGCGCTAGCGAGTAGTTGTTCGAGGCTATCTTGACGGGTGTGCGGATGGCCCTTGGCTGTCTACCTGTTGTCGATTTGTCGTCTGTCCTGGTCGGTGGGGTATAAATATACGACGAATTTGTGATCCCAAAAAGACATGGCCTTATGCCCTGTCCGAAAACAATAATTGGCTTGGTATGGGCTCGTAAGTGGCTGCTTAGGCACTTTTCGGAGGGGCCGATATAGTTTTAGGGAAAACGCCGTGAAGTGCCTATGTCGCAGTCTGGACGCCTGCCTTGGTCTGATTCTTTGCCGTTAATCAGTCATGACCTGCCGCAGCGGAGGATGTTCAGATTCTCTGTTACCCACTCCTAACATTTGAACGTCTCCTTGGGGTACTGCGGCAAGTTTTGCAATGCAGTGCGCACTGTAGTCAGCTGACTACCGACAGCATCACGTGATACTGCCGTCAGGGCCTAGTGCGCTACCACGCCATGCAGGTGATTGGTTACGCCCACTCTTGCTAGACCATCTGGCTCGAAGCTTCGGCGCCTACCTATGCACAGCGTGCACCCAGTCGACGAGCCTGCTGGATCAAAACAGAAATGGTGCGTTCCTTCACGGGGAAAGAATCGTTGAAATGTGGGCTTTACAAGGCCAAGTAGCAATGCAAGTGGACGACTAACTAGGTTTTAGTAAGAATCACATGCTTTTATGCGACTGCTACATCTCCTCTCCGAAGTTTACTGTCATCCTTACCGACTTAGCACCGTAAGCCTTCATACTGATCAACAGTTACCTGTTGACCTTCAGTAAATCTGATAAGGGACTTGAGGAAGGAGGTCATAACAACAACCTGTGCATATGCCAGAGGACAAGGGGCGTGGCGCGTTTCGTATACGTCGTCCAAGCAACGGACTAATGAATAAACTCTTGTAGATGGGAATCTACATGTCTGTATGCATAAGTCATGCGCGCATGAAAGCTACCCAAACAAATTCGACGCCAATATACTCTATCAGAATCTTCTTTTGCCCTAAATGGATCACCCGGAAAGAGATTTTGTTTATGACTAGAACAGTAAGCATGGCAAAATCTGTGTCAAAGGGCATGCCAACTGCCATGATCCGACTCGGTTGTTTGCGAGAGCAGGTTGGTATACCAGGCGCTCTGCATCTCCCCGGAGTTTCCACTGCAGTGTTTGATGACACACAGCGAAAGTGACTTTACTTGACGGGTATGATTTTTCTCATAGGTTCGGTGAATTCGGTCCTTTTCGGTGAGTACACGCTGAATCTCCTCGTTCTGGTTTCTTAGGCGTGTGAATCCCAGAATTGTCGTAGTAGTGGTCTAGATGGCACCTCGCATGACACTCCAGTAGTGCTTCATGTCTGCAGATGAATAGGTGGTTGCCTGTCCAGCCTATTCCATGGCACACGTTGCCTTCTTCCTCAGCACATCTTGATCGTCCCCTGTCTTTGCTATCAGGTCGTCTGACATTTGTCAATACCTCAAACATGGGGACATCCATATTGACTGCTCGTACTTTATCGGTCGGAAGGTGAGAATATGTCCATGAGGATCTTTGGCTGTGAATTCCGTTGTGGCAGACCCCACGACAGTTCGACCGTCGATTTCGACGATGTCCACCGTGCGCCCCACAGCAGGTGGGAGCAGGGACGGTGACTTGCGCAGGGGTTTATAGTGCCGGTAGACTTGCGC